TTCTTAGAATTGTACTTATTTTTCTTTTGATCATACCTCTTTTTGTTGGGTTGTTCTTGCACTTGTACCACGTTTTCTTTTGCTGCCAATGATTTTGCCTTTGCTGCAGCACACTCCCTACGGTTTGCATCCTCAATTATGATGTGGGTGATAAGATCTGTGAGCGATATATATATATATATATATATATATATATATAAATCAATACATAAATTTTACATGAAAAAAGAAAAATGTTTATTAGGAATGAAAAGTGAGCTAAAAGAGATTTAAGATATAAGAAATAAATTAGTCAATAAGACAAATTAATTACAAATGAAAAATTAAGAAAAATATATTTAAACTATAAATTTAGAGAAGATAAAAACATATAACATAAAACACATACATATATTATTTTTAAAGTCAGGCATGTAAATACATCTCTCAAGTATATGTAGGTTCACCACAGATAAATACGTAATAAAAATGGAAAAAGGGTAAAACAGTAGAATGAAAGAAGAAAAAGAAAAATTGTTATATATATAAACCATGTTTTAAAGAGCTATCCTATAACATAAGCATTTATAACAATGTTTAGGAAAGCTTAGGCAAATAGCTCATTGACATATCTACTTTAGCATTTTTTTTTAATCAAAAGTTATTTTTAACTTAATTCCTTAAACTTTACATTTTTGGAAAAATATTTATATAAAAGAAAAACTTACAAATTATATAAAAACAGTTTAACTTTACTTCTCCTTCAATTATAAAAATAATTTATACATAAATACATATATAAGAAATATTTATGTAATAAAACTTTAATTAAATTATTTGTTCAAACAATTACTTATTCCTTTATTACGCTTCTATCTGGATTAGGATTCAAAGAAGAAAAGCTTACGCACTAAACCAAAAAGGAATGGCAACAGAAGAAACAGTAATTTATTTTTTGAAAAGTTTTTTTTTCTTCTTTTTATCTTTTGCTGCATCCTTGAAAAGTAATTTGAATACGTAAAAGTTAAGGAACTTTTCTACATCTAAAATTTGCATGACGTTTTTGTATAAACTTAATATAATGGAATAATTATCTCTGTACACATATACTGCAGAAAATCAAATTTAATATAATAACATTTCTAACTTTTTTTCAAAAAATATATTTGTTACTAAGTTTGATATATGATATTATTTGACCATATATATGTCTACGTGTATGGGTGAGTGAAGGCAAAATATATATTTAATTATATTAATTACTTAGTACTAGTGCAAAAATTGGATTTAAAATTGGAGTTTTAAGATCGGTTATAAGGTAACCGATCTTAAAAGTGACGCGGTGGTAATTTTGTAAATAACATGAACACTTTTAAGATTGGTTGAAATTTAACCGATCTTAAAAGTACTTTTAAGATTGGTTATAAAAGAACCGATTTTAAAAGTGGCACTTTTAAGATCGGCTATAAAATAACCGATCTTAAAAGTGACACTTTTAAGATCGGTTATAATATAACTGATTTTAAAAGTAGTACTTTTAAGATCGGTTATAAAAGAACCGATTTTAAAAGTGACACTTTTATAACCGGTCTTAAAAGTACTACTTTTAAAATTAGTTATTTCAAAACCGATTTTGTATGTAGTATACAAAATCGGTTCTGAAATAACCGATTTTAAAAGTATCGTCAGAAATTTTTTATATTCCCCTCCATTGTCATTCTCTTCAATCTTTCCCTGAAGCTCTCATTTTCTAAAGTCTCTAATAAGGTAAATTTCGTTCTCGTTTTCATTTTCATTTTCGTCTTCTTCTTCTGTTAATTCTTTTCATTTTTTCATGATTTCTCGTCTTTGTGTTGTAGGTCCAGTTTGGGTTCGAAACTGGAACGGCCCGTTCTGCAAGGAGAACGGGCCGTTCTCCATGGAGAACGGGGCGTTCTCCAAAGAGAACGGGACGTGTTCCAGGGAGAACGGGTCGTTCTCCAAGTTACCTTTTAGGCATTTTGATCAGACTGGAACGGCCCGTTCCGATTTTGGAACGGCCCGTTCCAGTTTATTTTTTTCCCACATCCGGACTTTTAAGATCGGTTATAAAATAAATGATTTTAAAAGTTGACTTTTAAAATCGGTTGTTTAACCAATTTTAAAAGTCTAATTTTTAAAATCGGCTCTTTCAAAATCAGTTAAAAAACCAATTTTAAAAGTCAAAATAACCGATTTTAAAAGTCTTTTTTCTACTAGTACGCCTAACTACAACATATTTTCTTTGAAAAAAATACATATATGTGACCGTGGCAATTAGCATTAGCAACGTGTAGGGAAGTGATTTCTTAGATTCCTGTCTTTTTGGCTGTAA